TAGTAGGTCAGTCGGTCTCGCCTACAGCTACGTCGCTCATGGGAAAACCCCAGTTCTACGGTGCATACTCGTGGGAGTTTTCCTTTTTCGTAGATCATTTATTCAAAACATTTTATCTCTTAAGTCGTGCTTCCAAATCTTGAAACGATTTTATTGTTGGATTCCTCGCGTTCGAGACCTTCAAAATTAGAACACATGTCTCCACTAAAGTGCCTCCACTAAAAGCAAATCCATGTCTCTTGCGAAAAAAATACATTTTTTTGTTTTTCAGAGGCACGACTGTGTCACTCGCTGAAGCAATCTGTGCGTACACGAGAAATAAATTTGTGCCTCTCGCGGAAAGAATAAAACACTTTTTTTCAAGAGGTAGTGACTGTCGCTGAAGCAAAGCCATGCCTCCACAAGAAGTAAATCAGTGCCTCTTGTGGAATAACAAAGGAATTTTCTTTTAGTAAATCTGTGCATCTCAAGGAAGGAAAAAAAAGACACATTTTTTCTTTTACTGAGAGGCGTGACTGTGCCTCTCGAGGAAGAAAATGCGTGTCGAAGTAAATTTGTGCCACTCGCGGAAGGGAAAAATCAAGATTTTTCACGCAATTTTTTTCAAATTGATTTTTCCCAAAACTGGAGGAAACCCGAAAAAACTCCTAGAGTGCATAGCGGAAAAACTCCCAGAGCCAACTTTTTTCATCAAAAAGCCAAAATAGCATACCAAAGAATAAAAAAAAATCTGGAAGAAGCGCCCAAAGCATGACACCTGGCAGCGGGTGAGAGCAGCTCAAGTGTCATGCTCCTAGCCCACAAAAAAACGACTCTTTGTGGCTCCCGAAGGATTACTCGCTGAACACGTGGTGGAGGCTGCCTTTATGCACTTTTGTTGTTTAATATCTAACTTTTTCCTCGTATTCTTAAATGCTCTGAAACTTTTTAACTGTTTTTCACGCTTGAAACATATTTTAGACATACAGAAAATATTCATAACAATTTTCGCAAAAAAGAAAAATAAAAAATAAAATATTCATAACAATTAATCTTTTAGAACTTTTATAACATTTAAAAATGTTTGTGACATTTAAAAATTTCATAAGCACATAAGAAATATGTCATATGTCTTACAATTTTTTAATGGAGTTCATGAAAAATGTTTAGTGTGTGTCTACAAATGTTCACTGTGTATTAATAAATGTTCAACGTGCATCTATTTTTTTTCTAGTATGTAGACCAAAAATGTTCAAGGTATATTCACAAAAAAAAGACAAACATTGAAAAAACAAAAGGAACAGAAAGAAACCAAAGGCAAACCAAGTAATGAAAACGGATAAAGGAAAACGCAGAGAAAAAAAACAACCGCAGAGAGGTTCCTAAAACCAATAAAACAAATTACACTATTTGATGCAAGAGCAACTGCGAGAACTGTATTTCGCTTACAGCGAGACAACCTACAGTTTTGCCTAAAGCTTTGTCCTGCATGCTGCAGTGCATTGTTTGCTCCCTCTCGGTCGCTGCCTGGGTTGGCTTCGGTCGCACGCTTTTTTTTTCTTCATTATATTACCGGTTTTCTTTGTTTCTTTCACAGTTTCATTGATTTTTCTTTCCTTTATTTATTCAATTATATTTATTATTTTTTCTCTGTTTTCAATGATTTTTTTACTTTTCATTCTTTCTTCACTTTTTATGCATTTCTTTGTTTCTTTTCTTTCTTGGTTTTCTATGTTTCCATTCTATTGTATTGCTCTTCTTCGGTTTTCAGTTATTTTTGCTATTCTTTATTTATTTTGGTTATTATTGAGTTTCTTTGTTTTTCTTTGTTTGATTTTCTTGGGTTTCCTTTTTGTTCAAAAGATGTCAGAATTTTCCAGTACACATTCAATATTTTTTGTATACCGTAGGAACATGCATGTTTAGTATTTTGTAATACATGATTAGAAAACTTTTTTTATCTCTACTTTTCACCATACACATTATAAATTTTTTGGTATATATCTAATACATATTTAACATTTTGCCATACAAGATTAACAAATTTTGAATACATATTAACAGTTTTCAATACATGGTCAGCATTTTTAATACCCTTTACCATTTTTTATATAAATGATGAACACATACAAATTTTATTTGTTTGCATATATTTTTCTTATACATGACAAACATTTTTTTCTATGCATATTTAGTATGTTTTTCAAACATAACATTTTTCAATGACTTGATTAACTTTTTAAAAAATTCTTGATTACACATTTTAAAAATATTGATCAACATTTTCGTACACATTGTATAATTTTTTTATACATGGGAATATTTCTCTATGCACATTTAACCTGGAAAGTATAAACGAAAATGAAAAAAGAAAGCAAAAACCAAAAAAGTAAAAAAAATAAAATAAAAAATGAGGCAGTTCCCTGTGGCCTCCTCTTGCTGGGCCGACTCATTTAGGAGGCGCCTGACACGTGAGCACCCTACTTCTTGAGACATAGGTGCGCCCATGAGTGAGTGCATGTTCTTTTGGTACAGTTATACATGAAATATCATTGCGTTCGTCTGTATTCATTTCTTGTAATTTTTGTCATGAGTTTAGGACCCCGAGTGTTGAGGCGCATAGTCTTGCAAAACACACTCTAGCTTTAGGGGTTGATCGTTATGTTTGGTTAGGTCAATCCGAAAACCTTGTCTTTACCCCAGTTACGTAACTCCAGAATAATAAAGCCTTGCATGTTTGCCTTCAAAAAAATAAAAAAGAAAGAGTCCCTCTAGGAAATATTGTCGAAGGCAGAATACAATTTGTTTTTTAGGGGCGAAAAAAATGATTTCTTGTTCCTCTAGCCTGTTTCCCAGCGCGGGAGCTATTTATCGCATTAAGCGATCGCTCCGGAGATGTCTCACTTAAGAGTTTCGAGATATCGGGCCAGCCCACTTAAAATAAATACAGAACCAAAGGGGGAGCTGCAGCGTTCGAACCCTGGTCTACTAGCTAATATATCACGCTGCTAGCCACCACACTGCTTTGAGGTGTCTTTTTCACTGGTATTTCTGGTTTCCTTTTTTTTTCGTTTTTCGTTTGCTTTTTTCATAGGGTTTTCTTCATTTTTTTCCTCTGGTTTTACTGGTTTTTCATTTTTTTTCTCCATTTCTTGTTTGGTTTTCTTTTTTTTCTTCTCCATTTTTCTTTGGTTTTGTTTTTTTCTTCTCCCGTTTTCTCCTCCACTTTTTTGTTTTTTCTTCTTATGTTGGGTTTCGTTTTCACTCTACATTTTCATAACAAGCGGTCAACATTTTTTCATACATTTTACATTATCCGAATGCTTATTCAATATTTTTGAAATAATTTTTCAACATTTTTTCAAAAACTTCTTCAATATTTTTAATATTATTCAATATTTTCAAATACTTGTTCAACATTTTTCATACACATATTCAAAAAAATTAATATACCTTTTCAAATTTTCTAATTCTTGTTCAACATTGTCAAATACTTATTCAACATTTTTACTATAATCATTCAATAATTTTTAATACCTATTCAACATTTTGCGAATACTTGCTCATCATTTTTAATACTTGTTCAACATTTTCAAATACTTCTTCAACATTTTTCAAATCCTTGGTAAACATTTTCTAATACTTGTTCAACAATTTTTCAAATGTTTTTTTGAAGTATTTTTGTAATATATATGTATATATGTAGAATATTTAGAAGTATAAAAAAAGTACAAAAATAAAGTAAAAATGAAAACAGAAAAAAGTTGGCTGTGGCTCCCGCGGCTGGGCTGGCCCATCTGGGTCGCCCCCAGAAGCGAGCGCATCCTCTCGTCTCGTTGAACGCGAGAAATAGGGTGCCCGTTTCCCGGCCGGCCCAACTTTGTTAGCCGTTCCACTATCTGGGCCAGTTTGCAGGGTGACCACGTTTCAGCGTAGTTCACGTCCAATTTGGGGCCCGTCAGGCCGCAAGTATGAGAAGCCCATGGCTATGAAACATGCTGGCGGAAGCCCATTACTGGAACATATGTTTAGGAACACCTAAACATATGTTTAGGTGTGTCTTCTTCTGCTTCACTCAAAAACAAAAAGGTGTGTCTTCTGCTGTTTCTAAAAAAAAAAGGTGTGTCTTCTGCTGATCGACGCAAAGGCAGCTGAAGCATCTAGTATAAGACACAAATTGATGAGCTAGCGCACCAGACATTAATATTGTTCATCATCACAGAGAAGCCACCGGTCTCATACATAACTTGACACTTGATTATATTGCCATCATCATGAGGAAGTTGTACAAGGCCCAACACATGCATGTGCTTTGCTACTGCGCTAAGTGTGTACATATCACTGTGTCTTGTAGCAGTATCTGTCAATTACATGTTTGTCTCCCATGCATAACTATGTCTATATGATTGACTGATGTTCATGCACGCATAAGTGAACACACAAGAGTCAAGACCAACCTGCAGATATGTACCAGGTAGCTCTAAGTTGCACATGGCGTGTAGCTCCTCCAATATTGTGTGCTGTATACTATTGGCATCAGTTTATTGCAGACTATATATATAGTGCAGTACCAAGCCATTGATCTAGGGTTCATCCCCCCTTAATTAATTAATTAGCCGTTGATATGCATATATGCGTACGGCTAGTTTTACATCGATCATAGTATGCATATATGTAGTGTATGTGTTGCCAATATATAGATAATGCTTAATTAATTCGTGGCTGGCTTCTTATGACAAACTATATACTAGTAAACTAGCCACGTTGGATAATTTGCTGACTTTGCGGGCGGCGTACGTGGGCCATGGGTAGGTCAATTGTACATCCTCCTGCCACCGGAGCCGGCCTCACGCTGGCAGTTGAAGTAGACGGCGGCGACGGGCGGGCCGAGGTTGTAGAGCTCGGCGAAGTCCCTGGTGTTGAAGTTCTGGCGCCACCCGGGGGCGTACACCGTCTGCCGGCCGAGCTGCTGGAAGAGCACGAGCACGAAGCGGTGGATCCCCATGGTCGGACGAGGGCTCTCATAGCACATCACTTCCTGCCCGAACGAGGCACCAGTTGTACCGGGGATATCTGTCACAAGCCTGCACACACATGTAGATGCACACGCGCGCACACACACACACACACATGAGCTAGTGTGTATATCTAGGGAAAGAGAAATTATTCAACTGAGCTACAAATTTACTTACCAGTGGAGATACTCCCTAAGGTTGGGATCGCTTGGACTTGGAGCATCTGGGTCTACCATCACCTGCGGGCAGTACACGCGTGCACATCATGATCAATACTAGAGACGTAGAGAGTACTACGTGCATAAGCATATATTTAAGATCGAGCTTTAATTAGTCGTGTGCTTGCCAGAACAAACATAAAACATGTCAACAGAAGCATCGAAAATCAATGTTCCCCGAATAGAAAAGAAGCATAGAAAATCATGATGAACACCAGAGAGCTAGCACAGAGCCATATGCAAGATGGAGCATTAGTCATGTGCCTGCCAAGACAAACATGCTGTGAACAGAAGCATCGAGAATCATCTTCCCACACGTACTATATATAGAGCTCGATCGATCATGTGCGTGTGGCGAGCACTTTCAGAGCTTAACATATATATAGGCATTAGATAGTGACTGTGTACGTACGAGTGTGTAGAAGGTCCTCATCTCATTGCCGCCCACCTCAACCCTGGGCTGCTGGGCGACCATGGACGGCTTGAGCTCGCAGCCGTTGGACACGGTCCTGTTCCCGAAGGTCACCCTGAGGTTGGTGGTCCGGACAAAGGGGTCCAGCACGTCTCCCACAACCCTGCCAACCACCAGCGGGTCCCTGTCCCTCCCGGCCATTTCCCCTTCCTTCTTCCTAGTGTAGATCGACCGGCTAGCTAGCAGCAGAGGGAGCAAGAGTAAGCGTAAGCTGTGAATTGAGGAAGTGGTGATGATGAGTGTTGCCCCACGGCCGGTGGCCACTTTATATAGGGCCGAAAAGCTCAGCCTGGCATGTTCCATGTCCATGTCCATGTCCAGACCAGTTCAGCCGCTGCTCTCCGCTCTAGCACTCCTTGGCGCTGCCGAGCTGGCGTGGCCACGGAATCTCGTCGCCTCTCTCTATTGAATTGGTTCTGTGGACGTGGTACAACCGGCAGCGCTTTTGACCCCCACAGGCAGAAGCGAGACCGATGGATGCATCTGTCTGCCGTAATAAGCTCCTGATCATGATCACCACGCAAATTAATGGTGGCTTCTAGGCCGTGCCTGGCTGCCTGCTCCTGCTGGCGTGTAGGTTTGCGTTGCGACCGGGGCTCTGGGCCGACCGGCGGTCACGCCGCGGCCGGCCGGCAAGCGGGCACAGGGAATGTCTGCCAATTAGCTAGTGCGAGACGGTGACTGGGGTGCATGCTTCCTTGGCTCGATTTGATGTAAGCTTCATCAGCTGCCGCCGGCCGTAGCTGGGAAGGTGTCGAAAGCCCGCCCGCCCGTTTCACGTGCATGGTGACGACGGGGAGGGAGAGCAAGATCACACAGCCTCGGATGGGTCGTACGGGGGAGATCATTGGAGGACAGGGTTCATTCTTGCTGCTGGGTGTGTGCGTGGTCGGAAAGGATGAAGAAGACGGACTTTCCCGAAACGTTAGCTTACACGGGACGCTGGCCGTATTAGGAAAAAAGCCCCCCACGATCATTTTCCCGCGAGAATATATGTACAGTGCCGGGCCCGGCTCAAGGACGATGCTAATGCTCCACCTGTCCCTGGGCTCGAAATAAACTCTCTGATTTTTTTAATTTTCTTTTTAATATACCCTCGCTTTTGTTGCCCTGGTTCCCTTTGAGCGCATCTTTTACAACCCTATATCTTTTCCTTTGGATTTTTTTAGTCCAAGGTATGAGCTGCGAAAATAATATTGAAACAAATTAATAATAGAAATGCTACCTGGCGAGCATTTCCGGAGAGGGGATGGCAAGCGAAAGCATTTTTCCGACAGGTTTAGTTGCGAAGCAAGATCAAAAGATGGCAATTTCTGCCTTTTTTTTTTGCCTCAGTTTTCCTCCTAGAAACTGCCACACATCTTTGAAGAAACTGCCAACAAAAATGTTTGCAAATGCCACCCCTCACAACGAATGTTCGCTAGCTATGGAGGTCCATTAATAAACACGTGTTTAAAATATCTAAAATTAATATAGGAATGCTCTCGGCTTACATTTAGAGAACAATGAAGCTATAAATTACGTGACAACTAGGTACAAAAAGAACTTTTTTGAATTGAACTTAACACGACGACACCAACATTTAACAAAAATGTGAAATATGAATGAGATGTTTTTGCTTCAATGGTACAACGCATATACTATCCATATCCACATAGAAATTAACGTAGGAAAATTAATGTGTGATCGACGTGCATGACTTGATTCACCAGGGAAAAAGGCATGCATAAATTGATGATGTGGCATGATTTGTATGGACATATTAATGCACAAAAACATAGTTATGAGTACATGCCACACAATTTAGGTCGTACGACTACCAATAATTGAGGTGATGTGAAAGCGCATGTGAGAGAAATTAAATAGTGGCGTCTTGCTATTTAGATATATAAAAATACCTTCTCCATTGGAAATTTTATAGTCAATGGTATGAGACGCTCTATAGAAGAGCTATAGAGCGAAATATCCTTTTTGGCAGTATTTTATATCATTAGGTTTTCAGGTTCATCTAATTATTTACTTTTAGATGTATTTTCTTTAGTTTCTTTTGAGAAAAAATTTCGATCTGTTCATTAACTGTCAAGGTAGTACAAAGAACACCAGAAGTAAAAAAATACATCCAAGTATGCAAAGACACTTTGGAAATGTCTTAATCCAAACATTGAAAGCTTTGAGCACCCACATTGATAGTAGTATTTCAATCTGGAATTTATTAAATCATATTTATATGCATGTCTAGAAATATTTTGGCCGTATTATAATTTTATTGGCCACAACACATATATTTCAAAAAATCTAGTCTTAGTTGTCCCTAAATACAACCTCAACTTGGATCAATGAATGTGCGATTCATCTGCGGAACTTTAAGTCGTACGATGTTATCTAATTTCTCTAGTCACTGAGGGCGTTAGGACACACATCCAAAGACTAGTACGATTATCAACAGATTATGTTTAGTGTGGTCTCACACGTTTATAGAGTAGGCTCCAGTGTTACTGATGGGGAGCCTTCTGGATCTGCGAGCAGAAAGTCGTGGTCACTGACGGGCTGCTAAGGCGACCGGACAGAGGAGAAGGGGATTTCGCTCTATGGGGTCTTGGAACCCTGGGCATCAGTGGATATCCCCTTAGCGGGTCTGGTTTGTATCTCCGTTGACGACCTATGAGGTGCATGTCAACGATAGTCAACCCCACCATGGACGATATGTGTTTGGGGTTCAACAGAAGATCAATCCGTAGTAATATGGAGAAATCATTCTTCGCCTTATAAAACTGAGTTTTTGCATCCATCGTATTTATGGGTTGATGCACATCACCATAAAATTTGACTAAAAATAATGGTAACAAAATTTACTTTACATATGGTCTTTTAATTTAGACGTCAAATTTAAAGTCCCAAGCGGCAAAAGATGCATTAAATAAACTCAAAGAGATAAATGGCGAGAGAAAGTTGTTATGTCTATCTTGATCCCTCTTGTACGAGATGCTAGCTAGGAATCCGGATGCTCTTTCTGCACACATTCTGTTTGCATACTACAACGCATATGCTAATTATCCTATTGCAATTTAACCAACCTAAATATTTTGGAATATTGTACCGTTGGTGGTGAAAAAGTTGTACAGTTACTAACTTCACTGTCAGTTAATGACCGGAGCATCTAGGCACATTCATGTATGTCTCTCCAGTATCTATCATGCTGTAGCACAAAAGTCATGTCCCTTTCTCATCTACCTTTCCTTTTATCGATGACCAGTGAGGCTAAAGTCCAAAAAAACATCTGTTTTTTAGTTAGTTCTTATTAGCTTCGAAATATGCATATCCTTTTCTGCCTTTTTGTCCCACCTAGCTAGCCTTCCCTTTCCAAATATGCAGCGACTGTATACACACGTACGTTTGCAGCTCAATTAATGGCCAGCTTACTTTCAGAAAAAAAAACCCAGCTAGTGTACTGACCAACTCCAAAATCTAAGAGGGAAATAATAAACTAATGGCTCCTTAATTTGGCCAAAGGAAAAGTGGAGAGAAAATATAGAAATATTTTCCCCTATGATGGTACTATTTATGTCTTTTGTTCAAAGGAATGGAGCAACCAAAAATTGTGGCCATTTTCTTTGATCCCAGTTCCAAGGAAAAGCACAGAAATTCTAACTTCCACTTGGACCTTTTTTCAAATCCCTATGCACAAAGAACAGAGGCTAAGACTCTTAATGGTGTAAATTGTAATAACATTCTAACTATATATCTTCATGTGGTTTGACTTTGATTTGACTATGTTTATTAAGGTTTCTGTGTTTTTCCAATTTTCATGAACCAAACACCCAAGTTGATTGAATTTCTATGTTTGTTAATCATCTGTTTTGCACATACATCCATATCATATTCATGTGTTTCTTTCTATTCCTACGTTTTTACAACCCCGCTAGCCAAAGAAGCCCTAAGGGCAACGTCCATAGCAATTATCTCTGAATAATGCATCACCTAGGCCATAGTGCCTCTTATAGCTTCACAGTGAATCTATCAATTTCACAACCAACCGAAAGGAATGCCAACTCAAGCCATCTTGTGAGGCGAGCCACTAAATCTTGACATCCGTGATCTAGGATCTCTGTTACAAACTCTGATTTCAAGTTGTCCATACGAAGATGAAACCATAGGCGGAATAGATACCCGATCCCAAAAACAGTTGCTCGACACAAACAACGAGGTGCGGGTCTTAAACACCGGTATATCGCTCCCTGATCCACCAAAGCTGGCTCATAGATTTTCACCCATAAGATGGAACAGACCGGTATGCATGCTCGATCAAACTATGTCCTGGTATCTTTAAACATGAATTTTCCTTTTGAGAAAACAACTTATTTGGGTTGGCCTTTTTTTGTATTTATAGTAATGACAACTTTGACGGCAGATGGTCCTTTATGTTCAATACTATCATAGAGAGCTTGGATCTCAGAGAGATAGAGCTTTCGGGTAGGAAATTCACTTGGGCAAACTCGCTACCGGTTCCGACGTTTGAGAAGCTTGATCGTGTTTTGGCGAGTGTCGATTGGGAACAGAAGTTTCCTCTGGTAACGGTGCAGGCGTTGACACGAGGTATCTCGGATCACACACCGCTACTAGTTGACTCAGGGCTCCAACTCATTTTGGTAATAAGAATATTTTCTCCTTCGAACTTGCTTGGTTTGAAAGAGAAGGATTCATTGAATTGTTAGCTAGAGAGTGGGCTAAAGACTCGGGGGGAAGGTCACCCATTGAGCGGTGGCAATGCAAGATTCGTCATATGCGAAGGTTCCTTCGTGGATGGGCTAAGCATACGAATGGAATTTATAAGGCGGAGAAGGAAAGGCTCCTTATGATGATTCATACCATCGAGTTAAAAGCTGAAACCTCTGTCTTAGATACCAGTGAGTTGGAGTCTAAAGTGGAGGCCGAGTTAAGGCTGAAAGAGCTTCTCCGTGAGGAGGAATTGAAATGGGCTTTGAGAGCTAAGGTTCGAAAGGTTGTCCAAGGAGAGGATAACACTCAATTCTTTCATATGATTGCTAACGGAAAGCATCATAAGAAGAGAATTTTTCAATTAGAACAAGATGAAGGAACGATAGTTGGTCAGGAAAACCTGAAAGTTTACATTACCAACTACT